CTGATTTCAGGAATGCTGCGAGTCAGCTGGTGACGTGGCAGTTAGGGCGCTGTCTCCCACACGACCAGCTGTGTGGCCCGGTCCTGGACCCAGCAGCCCGGGAAACACGCCAGGCACGCGTGCACCGTGCCCCCGATCCCACGAAGACGATGGAAAAAGCATGCCCTGGAGGGTGCTTTCTCACTCTGTCTCTTTCTTCCTGGCGAGTGCACGTGCCCGATAGCAAATTTTAAAAAAATGTTTAAAATGTAAAAAAAAAGTTGTTTCTTAGCATTGATAATAGTGTACCTAATCATAAAAGGAAAGCTCTTGAAGACATGTTAAAAGGGAAAAAGTTTGAACTAGCCAGTGCGGCACGGTGGTTAGGGCAGCTGGATCCCAGGGCTGACTTCGGGGTTCACGTCCCAGACCCAGAGACTTGGCAGGCACGCTGAGTGTGTGTGTGTGTGTGTGCCAGAATCCCAAGAGGAGAACGGAGGAGAAGGGATTGTGCAATGGCCAAACCCTGGGGGGCGATTTCTCACTTTGACTCTTCCTTTCTATCTCCAGTGAACTCACAAACCCTATAGCAAACTTGAAAAAAATTGAAAAGCCATTTAGAGCCTATGTCTGAAGAGATTCAGTGTGAAACAGAAAGCTTTGGGGTGCCCCCGTGCCCATTTTTTGATTAGAGGGGCTTCCAGAGGCAGGGCTGGCCAGGTCGGGACAGAGGGTGGGTGGTCCAGGGGCACCAAGACTCTGGGGATCCGGAGTGGCCCACGCGGTGAGGGCCTGTTGCTGGGGGACATGGAGCTGTGGGTGTGCAGAAGGGTGTCGATGTAGCGGCAGTGCAGGCTCACCCAGCAGCCCGGGGACTGGCGTTCCCACAGGCAGTCCCTAACGTACGGCTAGATCTCTGAGACTCCTCTCACCCCCTTTTCTCCCGCAGTTCGCCATGTGGGTGGACGCTGTCATCTTTGTCTTCAGCCTGGAGGACGAGATCAGCTTTCAGACTGTCTACCACTACTACAGCCGGATGGCCAATTACCGGAACACCGGCGAGGTCCCGCTGGTGCTGGTGGGCACCCAGGGTGAGTGCGGCCACGCGGTGCGGCCAGGGCGTCCGGGGTCGGGCCGTCACTGGCCTTTTTGGGCGCTGAGCTTTCAGCGTGGAGGAAGTGGGAAGGCGTGGCGAAGGACGAGCTCCCTGCCGCGAGCTTTCACTCACAAGGGGACCCGTGACGAAGAAGTCACCTGTCACATGTCCTGTGTGAGCCTATGGGGAAGCCACTTGTCCAGCAAGCGCAGAGCACACACACGCGTGCGCACGTGCACGAGTGCTTTAGGGAAGACATACGCTGTTTTCTGTGCGTCTGTCTGAATCCCCTGTCTTACAGGCCACGTAAAGCCATCTAGAAGCTCAGTTCCTGCCGGTGTGCGGTTGGGCGCACGGCAGCTGCCTGTGCTGCGTGTCATCTGCATGCTCCGTGATCACGGCTCGTTCTCAGTCTGCCGGAGTCCTCAGATCTGGGGTCATGCCAGCCGCGTTTCTTGCTGTCTTCCGGGCCACCTAAAGCCAGTCTCTCAGTCAAGTGGCCCTCCCGTGGACACAGACACAGGACCCTCCTTCTTGAGCCCAGATTTAATCTCTCGCTGGTGTCGTCTGCCTTTGGGGTGTGACAACATGCACATAGGTGGCTTTACCGTCCGGTGAAAGCTAACTTTAAACATCACTTTGTCAGGAATATGGGAAACCTAAACATATTACTAGAAAGCCGGGAATATTACTATACCGCTTCATTGTTTTGGTTATGCCATGGTTTACTGCCAGCTCCTGCCGAACAGGCGTCCTCTCTGCCCGTCCACGCCCTGATGCCAGGCTCTGCCAGCTAAGCAGCGAACTGTGCAGAACAGGTGGACACGGAGAGCCATGTGCAGCCGCGGGCTGCTGGGCTGGTGGGCACAGAGAGGGCACGGCCAGGTCAGCGGCTGCTTCGCCTGGGGCTGCTCCACTGCTTAGCAGGCCTCTGCGTGGGGAGCCAGGTCTGGAGCGGCCAGGGACAAAGCTGCACAGAGAGGCTGGTCTGTGTGCCCATGGCGCCCTCTAGTGGTCACCAGGAGACAAGGGAACACTCCTGTTCCTGTTCAGAGTTGGCGTATTCAAGGGGGTACCTTGAAAGCTCTTTTGATTTTTTGAAGAATTATTCATTTTTACTTATTTTTAAAAAATATTTGCTGTAGGGTATATGTGCCCGAGAGAGAGAGGGAAAGGGAGAAAGCCAGCGCCAGGTCGGGACTCAGTACGGCCCGTCGAAAGCAGGTACTTACCTAAGCCGATTCCTGGGAGCCGCCTGGACGTGGAGGCCCCAGCCCAGGGGCGTCTCCCGCGGTGTTTCTGAGCCCGGCCAGAGGCAGCACGCACTTGCCTCCAGGCAGGGTGGTACGCAGGACCTGGGTCCTTCTGGCCGTGCGCTGAGGTGTGGCAGCGAGGCTCCCAGCCCGGGCTGGCGGGACCTGGTTTGGTGAGTTTGTTCTCTCGGCCCTCTGGGGAGGACCACGGCAGGCTTAGTTCATGGTGCCTCCTGGGTTCCAGAGGACGTGTGGAAGGCACGGGCAGCCACGGGCACAGGACATGTGCTCCTTACGGTTCATATATGACCAGCCTCACCGAGGTCCTGCCTGGGCTGCCGGGAGCTGGGTCTCACCCCGTCCTTGAGGTCAGTGTCCGCTGAGTCTCCCACCCCAGCCAGGAGGGCACACCTCCCGCCAGGCCTCCCGAGTCTGCGGAGCGGCTGTGGTGGCACTGAGACGCTGATGTCCCTGAGCTGAGAACCCAGCCCATCATCCTCACTAACTGAGCACAGAGCCACACCCTGACCAGGACAGGGATGTTGTTGGAGACATCGCTCACTTGAAGGACCCTCTCAGTCTGTTCCTGGACCTCATGGGTGCACAGAGCGGAGCATTCTGGAAGCCCACGTGGCAGGGAGGTGGCGTGGCCATGGCTCCTGAGGCCCCAGCGTGGTGCTTGAGAGCTGAGTGCAGGCGGCCTTCCTGTGACACCTGTGTGTTCCTGGTGCTTTTCCACGGCTCGGGATGCCGGAGGCCAGGCAGGGCAGACCCGAGAGGCAGGGCCCGAGTTCCTCCCTGGCTGGGGTGGGCAGCCTTAGAGGTCAGAGTTTATGGGGTAGGGAAGACTCAAAGAAGAATTAGATTCCTTCCTTCAGGATCAAGGAGGCCCTGCCTGGCACGAGGAGAGGCTCCGCTTAAGGGGGGAGCAGCCTGCCAGGTGCGCTGTCCTCACCGTCCCCAGGCGTACCCCCAGCTGCCAGGCAGCCGTGGAGCCAGACCTGCTTTAGGGTTTGTTAAACAGGTTCTGTCGAGAGACTTGCACGTCGCATGGATTTGAGGGAGGGGGACCTGCAGGAAGGTGCAGAGTGAGGGCGAGCACAGCGCCGACTCGTGGCCGTGTCCAGAGGCTGTGTCCGAGCAGTGACAGAGTGGGCGCCCGGGAGGGCCGTGGCTCAGGACGGGGTCGGCTGGAGGGGTGCTCTGCAGCCGTACCTCACACAGTGCACTGGAGTTGACGAGTTGGGGATTGCTAACCTTTTTTCCTTTATTATTTTTTAATAAAAAATTCACATCTTTAAAAAAATACTTCTTTTCCTTAAGTGTATTGAAATACAAGTCAGATTCACCAGCCTGCAGGAGAGGAGGTGGGGGAGGCAGGGGTGCACAGGGGGTGCAGGGGGCGCAGTGGGGAGGAGACCCTCCGGGATCTAATGGCCACTCCGTCTGGGGCGGTTGGTGCTGCTACCTTGACCAGGAGAGAGGACCCCTCTGAGGACTTGGTTTAAAAGTGGTTTTCGTGGGAACCAGCAGTTAGCGTAATGGCTATGTCGCTGGATTCCCACGTAGTCGACCGCAGTTCGCGTACCGGACCCGGTGGCTTAAAAC